TATCACATAGCCCAAATGTGGGGACCAGTGCACGCGTATCCTCAAAATCAGTGAGACTTAGCCTAATGTGGGGCATGGCATACGCTCCACCTCAATATCAATATAATCGTTGTGGAGTGCAACCTGATCCAGCATAACTCACAACACGTCTCTACGGACCACATCAATCATCAATCCGCTCAAGTCACCATATGCCTATATCTCACAGAAACATAATCCTATTATATAACTCAGAATATCGCAATATGCCTCAAATATAGCTCAACTCGTGTCACGTACAAGGACACCAATAACATGTGAGACAGTATATCAAAACCGCACATGGACAGATATATAACATGCGGATGTAACTATCAAGACTGTACAGTATGACTACGGTTAAGGCAAATAGCTCAACATGGCGAAAATAGCCCTATCATGTCTCAAATAATTAAGCAGGTGGCCTAGACAAGATTACTAGCACGAATAATATTGCACGTGGTCCTATAAAAGGAGAAAACATGATATCAAAGAAGCATAATAGAAAAACAAGGCACATAATAGCCTAAGAGCTACCTGGATCATGAATACCTCGGTGCACGTACACACGTTGTCACCTAGCACGGGTACTCAGGGATAATTACCCTCCAATCCATGTTTAGATATGTTACTTACCTCAAACAAGCCACATCAAATACCGGGCAAGTCAAACAATACTCTTGAAACGCCATCCCGCGCGAATCAACCTCGAAACGGCTCGAAACTAACAAAACGCAACTCAAAACATCAAATAATTCTATAGAAAACAAACCCAAATGAAAAATGACAAATCTTTAATCAAATACTCAAAGTCAACCAAAAAGTCAAGCCAGGCCTGCGACCTGGAACCCGACAAAACTCATAAATTTCGACAACACATTCGAATACGAGTCCAACCATACTAATTTCACTCAAATTTGACTTTGAATCAATGTTCAAAACTCAATTATTCACTATAGAAATGTCTAGACATAAACCTCTAATTTCCCTTTTCGAATCATCAATCAAATGCCAAAATCGAAGATAGAATCATGTAATATAACCAAAAACGAGTCAAAAAATACTTATCCCAATCCATGCAGTGAAAATCGCTCCAAAATCTCCCAAATCCGAGCTCTATAACTCAAAATGAGATAAAATGAGCTCAAGGTACGAAATATAGTACTTATAAGCACTACCCAAGCAAACCTTTCGCGATGCGAGCCACACTTTGCAATCGCGAAGAACAAAGATGAACTCAGCCAAAAATATGCTTCACATTCGCAATACTGCCCTTGCAAACACGATAAACACACGTACCATAACTATGCAAAAACTCCAACGATCTCATGAACACGAAGATAGAAGTCCCCAGCTCCCCGATGAATCATGATCGCGAACCATCTCCTGTGAACGCGAAGAACAAACCTCTCAACCCTTCGCGAACGCGCTCTTCCTCTCGCGAACATGATCAATAGGCAACAAGAAACTCCAAAACACTATGCCATCACTTCCTTGCCTCCGCGATTGCGAAGAAGACCTGAGGCACCATAACCAGCAAAAAACCAGCAATGCCAAATAGAGACGAAATGGTCCGGAACCACCCCGAAACTCTCCCAGGCCCCTCTGGACCCCGTTCAAAAATACCAAAAAGCTACAAAACATAACGGGGACCTAATCGAGGCCTCAAATCACATATAAAAATATTAAAACCACGAATCGCATATCAAATCAAGCTTATTAAACTATTTTGAATTTCCGAATTCCAAATTCCAAACTTATGCCGAACACGTTTAAATAACTCAGAATCTCCTCAAATTTTGCACACAAGTTTAAAATAACATAAGAAACCTATTCCAACTTCCGGAACAAAAATTCGAACTCGATCATATCAAAGTAAACTCCTGATCAAACCTATGAACTTTTCAAACCTTCAAACTGCCAATTTTCGCCAAATAGTGTCAAAACCTTCTAGAAATAACCAAATGCAAATTCGGGTGTACGCCCAAGTCCAAAATCATCATCCGGATCTAATGAAACCATCACAACTCCAGTCTGAATTTAAGCACACAAAAGTCAAACTTGGTCAACTCTTCCAACTTATAGCTTCCTAATTGAGAACCATTCTTCCAAATCGATATTGAACCACTCTAGAACCAAAATCGAAGATGTACACAGGTCATAATATATCATATGAATCTAATCACGACTATAAACCACCAAACTAAATTCATATACTCAAAAAAACCGATCGAGTCGTTATAGTTGGAAATTTGTGAAGCAGAGTAGGTACTGCAAGATCTTGTTCACAAAGCTATAAAGAAAGTCAAGATCATCAAGGAATGGTTGAAGATGGCTCAAAGTCGCCAAAAATCTTATTCAGGTGTTCGGCATAGAGATTTGGAGTTCAAGAAAAATGAATGGGTATTTCTAAAGGTTTTCCGCCCATGAAAGGCGTAATGTGATATGGGAAGAAAGGAAAATTGAGTCCAAGGTACATTAGACCTTACAAATTGTTGAAAGAAATGGTCAAGTAGCAAATAGGCTGGACTTGCCTCCAAAATTGTCCTTCGTGCATCCAGTGTTCCACATGTCCATGTTTCGAAGTCATAGGTGAGCCCTTGCGTATTATCTCCGCAGAGAGTATTGAAGTGAATGAAGGCTTGACATATAAAGAGGTCCATATCACCATCCTTCATAGACAAGTTTGAAAGTTGAGAACCAATGAACTAGCATCCATCAAGGTGTTATGGTGGAACCAACATGTTGACGAAGCCACTTGGGAAGCGGAGGAAGACATGAAGAAAAGATATTCACACTTTTTTGAAGAGTCGAATGTAAATATGTAAAGGTTATTAGGAGGCCCTTCTTTTATTTAATACATATTTTGTTATGTATAATGTAGACTAGTCGCAACCAATTGAGGAAAATGTTATGATTAATATTATTCATGCTTATGGTGCATCGTAATCCTTGGGAATATGTTTCTAGGTTGGTCTCTATGGCTTTATGACAGGTGGATAGGCTTAAACACAAAAGAAACTCTATCGAAATTTTTGAAAATCTGTGGTCTTACCCAAATTCTAAGGCACTAATAGATTGAGAGTGAACGACCAAGGGTTTGGCATAGTGGTTAAGTGAAAGCTTGAGCAACTTATGAACGCAACGCTGGACTCTAATCATCATTCGAGAACGAATGAACCTAAGGGGGGAAGAATACAAGGAACCGTAAAAATTCATAAGATCTTAAGGCTTTAAAGTTCCAAAACAAACGAAAATGTCGGCGATGCGAAATTCGCCACAGTACAAAAAATTGGACCACACAATTGCCAAAAAAATGGATAAAAGTACCAGCTCCGGAAGCATTATATGGTAATTTTGTGGGAAACAAAATAGGTTTACGGCCACAAATAGGCCGTAGAATTAACTAAAATATACTCCCTCCGTTTCATATTAGATGAGGTACTTTCCTTTTTAGTTTGTTCCAAAACAAATGACACATTTCTAAATTTGGAGATAATTTAATTGTAAACTCTTCATTTTACCCATTTATCCTTAATGAGAACCTTTTATAGCCACACAAATGTCATGGCCCCACAAACCTTTTACCCCTTAAGCTTTTAAGACCACGAATTTAAAATTTTTTTTTCTTAAACTCCGTGCTGAGTCAAACTAGCTCATCTAATATGAAACGGAGGGAGTATCATTTAACGAAGGCCTTTTACAAAGAAATTATGCGACCACAGAACTAGAATGGGAGCTGCAAAGCTACCCACAGAAGTGAAAAGAATATCTGGGTAGAACTAAGGGGAAATCTATGGTGGAATTATGGGGACCACAAAACATGAATGTGAACTGCAAAACTAACTAGGACATCACCAGAGTTGGAGCACCATTATGGGGTCCATTATGCAAACAACTAAATAGGAAAGCAGACCGGAGAGCCGCCCGCGGAGTTGACCAGAATATCTCTTAAATTTGGGAGAAATTAAAAAATAGCCAGATTTACAAGTGGTCATTCAAAAATAGCCACAGTTTCAAAAGTAATCGAAATTCAGCCACTTTTCATGTAAAGATAAATCTGAACGAAAATAGTGTTCAAAATCCAGAAAAATACTCCAGCATAATATATATACTGGAGTTTCAATATAATATACCGGTCCAGCATAATATACTAGAGTTTGGAGCACCGGTGCTCCAGTCTTCAGTATATTATATTGGAGCCAGCAAAGTATACCGGTCTAGCATAATATGCTGGAAGTTTATATGCAGGTGCACTGAACTCCAGTATATTATGCTGGACCGATCTCAATTGCAGCAAAATAGTGGCTATTTTTCAATGACTTGGCAAACGCTGGCTATTTTTGAATGACTAATCCGAAAACTGACTAGACCGTGCTATTTTAACCTTAAATTTTAGGACAGTTATGCGGCCCATTATATGGACAGAAGAGACAAAATAGCACGGTCTAGCCAGTTTTCGGACTGGTCATTCAAAAATAGCCAATGTTTGCCAAGTCATTGAAAAAAAGCCACTAGTTTGTTGCAACAGAGACCGGTCCAGCATAATATACTGGAGTTCAGTACACCTGTGTATGAACTTCCAGCATAATATGCTGGACCGGTATACTTTGCTGGCTCCAGTATAATATACTGAAGACTGGAGCACCGGTGCTCCAAACTCCAGTATATTATGCTGGACCGGTATATTATATTGGAACTCCAGTATATTAGATTGGAGTTTCAGTATAACATACTAGAACCCCAGTATATTATGCTGGAGTATTTTTCCGGATTTTGAACAGTATTTTCGTTCAGATTTATCTTTACATGAAAGTGACTAAATTTCGATTACTATTGAAACTGAGGCTATTTTTGAATGACGACTTGTAAATTTGACTATTTTTAAATTTCTCCCGACACAAGAACATGAAGATGGTCCATTATACAACCATAGAACTGCTCTGAGTGGCATTTTTGTAAAAGCAGATATTCAGTTTTATTTCATATATGAGGGTGAAGTGAGTTCCAAGAGAGAGAAACAGTGGATGTTCTTGAAGGGTCAACCGTTGTAGAGAGAATGAGGAAGTTTCCAACCCTCATACACACCAAGGTAAGGTTATTTTATGGATTTACATCTACTCAACATCACACACAAGGACTAACACAACCTATTCGTGGAATCCTTAGATTCTAAGCTCAATTTTTCATGAACTCAATAGATGAATTTGTAGGACTTTGTTCCAAAAAGGTAATGCTACATCCCAAACTTACATACATAGGTTGCTAATGAGTATATGAGTAGGAATTTAAGTATTGGACATTGTGGGATGGTGATTAGAAGCCATAAGCTCTCAACGTAAAATTTGCGCACCGTAGAGAATGAAGAAGTATTTTATTTGATATATGTGTTAATTGGGAGTGGGTGGTTGGACATGCATGTGTAGTTGAAAGTCATAAATTAACTAAGGATGGTTGTGGAACGAAAGGTGGATGCTGGGTTAATAAATTTCCATTAATGGGTGTTGTAGAGAACTATGTACATTAGGTGTTTGATAAAATACCTAGGAGACCTAGGTGAAAATTGTAATGGACACTGAACAATAGGTTATACTCAAGTTGTTTCTAAAAGAATATGGAAAAATTATGCTTCACACTCTAAAGAATAGAACTCTGGAACAACTTGTACTACTTGATAGTGATATTGAATTGCCTTGGCATGTTGGGGATGAACTCAATATGGTGATGAATGAAGAGGAAAATATTGGAGGTCAACCAGTTTACACGAGGAGAACGAAATCCTATTACAATGGGTTCATTAAGAAGGTGAAGGAGCAGTTGCAATCATGAAAGGGCAAGTTGTTATCTTATGGAGGCAACTAGTGGTTATATCTAATTTCCTTCAAAGCATGCCAATTTACTTGTTATCCGGTGTTAATCCTCCTAGATATATCCTAGATGATCTTCATAGAATTTTTGCGAGGTTTTTCTAAAGCAATAAGGAAGATGGAAGAAGAAAACATTGATCAGCATGGCTAAACCCTTGTCTACCTAGACAAGAAGGTGAATTAGGGTTTAGGTCTTTGTATGACGCTTCCAAAGCTTTATTTTCCAAGTTTTAATGGAAGTTCCGGTCTACTAAATTATTGTGGGCAGATTTTGTATGGAATAACTACTGAGCAGATACCCACTTTGATACAATGGAGAGATGGTTCTCACGTTTAGAAGAAATCGTTGGAGGCTAGAGATTTTATTGAACAAAAAATTTGGTAAGAACCTAAATGTAGTTCCTCCAATGTTTAGTTTGATAACTTGGACCAAATTTGGTGCTTTATGCCATGTTTTTCCTACTGATTTTCCTATTGATGATATATCTAGGATATGGAGGAACTTATGGAGAATGGAAACTAGAATGTACAAAAATTATATTTTTGGATAAAATTGTTGAGAATATTAGGCAGGAGTAGGATACATTAGAGGGTTCTGAGAAATGAGATAGACCTTGGTGGAAGTTAATTAGCTCAGATAAATTCACTGTGAGCAGTGCATGGAACATTCTTAGACATAGGGCTCATATTTCTCCATACTTTAAGAACATGTGAATGGGTTCCTTTCAAAGTATTATTCTTTCTTTGGAGATTGTGAAAATTTAAGGTGCCAACTGATTATGTGCTTACAATAATTGGGTATTCTATATCCTCTCGGTGTTGGTGTTGCCTCAATCCGCAACAGGAAATAATTTCTTACTTATTTCTCACTGGCTCTTTTGTTTCTAGGATATGGAACTATTATGTGACTGCTGCAGGTATTCATGGGCCTTTTGTACAGCTTCACCAAGCTGTTTTCTAGTGGTGGAATGCAGACAACCTAAGTAAACTTAAGCGATTATTTCAAGTTGTCCACGCGATGATATGTTGGCAACTTTGGAAGAGGAGGAACATGGTGATTTATGATGGGAAAATCTCTTTTAAGAGAGTGGTTCATGAGATTAACAACCACCAATATCAGCTGGCCGATGTGAGATATTCTACATAATATTTCTTTTCTTTGGCCATAAATGATTCAGCATTTTTTAAGGGTAGCCCTTGATGGGGTGCAAGTTGGTAAAATGCTCATGTCCTCTGGTAGATTAGTACAAATGTAATTCTGATGGAGCTTCAAGGGGCAATCCATGGCCTAGTTTTGTTGCCTATTATGTTAGAAATAGTGATGGTGGCCTTGTATATGCTATGGTAAGGAGATTGGTGGATACTAACATGACTACTGAGACGATTCTATATAAGAAGGTTTGGATTTCTATGTTTCTAACTTATTGGTGTTAATTGTTGAGACTGACTCATTGACAATAAAGAATGTGTTGGATAGTATTTAGGAGGTGTCATGAAGCATTGTGATGGAGGTTATTGGGATCAATCAATTGAGAAGAAGGGGATAAGTGCAGCTTGCTCATGTGGTGAGGAAAAGGCAAGGCACTGGCATATTATGTTACTAACCTAGTTTTTGATTTTTCAGGTACCATATACTTTGACACATTTCATGCACTTACTACTACAACAAAGAAGATACTTAATGTGGATAAGGCTCAAGTTCCTAACATGAGGTTTAGACCAATAAAAATAAGAGATCCAGGTTGAAAGACAAAGACTCAAATGATCATCAGGACAAACAAGATACTTAGAGAATTAATCTACCCGGCATGCTTTGACGGACACATACACTTGCGGGGAAAGGTTATTGTCTTGTACATTATTATGCAAGTTGTTTAATTTCTTGCACTTTGTAAGATCTCATTACATTGATAGGGGGATAAATATTCGGTTTAATAACTATCCATTGATTCCCTTCACATGTATTAATATTGCATAATGTTATATCTTAATAGGTGGTATGGTTATCACCTAGTTGTTTCACAAATGGGCCAATTACTTACGGATTAGTCACGTTTCATGGGAGGCAATTCATTGGAGATTGGACACAGTCAAAAGACAAAATGCACATTTCAATTTTGCCTTGAAGGATTCTTCTTTTGGTTTTGGTATCATAGCACATGGTGAGAGCTTTGTAGGTGTTGGAGATTGCACCAAACCGAGGCAATTGGACACTTCTGCAGTAATCATCTTGTTGGCTTGTCATTTTGCTTTATTTTATATGTATTGGATTTCTTTATTAGAGTCAACTTAGGATAATTTGTCTCTAAGTTGACATTAGTTTTAGTTCTTACAAAGCTTATTCTTGTACATATTATAATACTTATTTGGTTTGATTTTATGTATATAATTAGCCATTAAGCAATCTTCTTAGCGGTCCTTTTGCTAAAAAAAATTACCTTGAGTGGAGCCAAATGAGTGTTGAGATTTACGTGACTGTAGTTGGAGCGATCCCCTTCCCATTCTCCAAATACCTCCTCTTGCACGCCGCTACAGTAAGTTGTAAGAGCAGGGATAGCTATGTTACAATTAATGCGTTCATGGATATATATTTGACTTTTGAGTTATCTAGGTGTCTTTTATTATTTCAAGAGTATTTAGTTTTTTAATATTATCTCTTAATTTTTTAAGAAGTCTTTATAGGAACTTGTGATGCATGTTCCTTGTTAGTTCTTGAATAGTAATTTGAGTAGTATAAATAGAGATGTATTTGGTGGTTGTAATCATCAAGTGGACTTAAGTAGCCTAATACAACTTGAGCATTCTCTAAGAAAAACATTCTCTTTTCCTAAAAATTGGTATCAGAGCGGTTTACGATCTTAATCTAGGGTTAACTGAAGAAAAATAATGATGACATCAAACACTAGAGAAGGTGTTGATTCTTCAATTCTTCTAACTGCATTTTTTGATGGAAATGACTTTGAATATTGGAAGATTAGAATGAGAACTTATCAAAAATTGAAGTCTTGTGGACAATTGTTGCAAATGGTTATGAAGAACCATAAGATGATGATGACCTTTCAATAGTAGAGATGCAAAACCTTGAGGCTAAGCGTCGTCAAGATGCAAAAGCCTTGAGCAAAATTCAAATGGGAGTCTTCGTTTTTCACAAAAGTTGCTACATATGATACTTCAAAGCAAGCTTGGGAGTATCTGAAAGCTGAGGTATATGGTGATGAAAAGGTACTCACTATCAATCTTCAAAACCTTAGAAGAGAAATTCAAAAATTTGAAGATGATAGAATCTGAAAAAAAATAGATGAATATTGCAGAAGAGTCATGAATATTGTCAATGAAACGAGAAATCATGATGACGAAATTTCTGGCCAACAAGTTATGAAAAATATGAATACATTGCTATCACTGAAGAGACGAAAGATCTTTCTAAGCTTTCCGTCAAAGAGCTCGTGCACATGAGAAGCGAAAAAAAAATTCATGGTAATCAACCAGAAGAGGCAGCTTTCTAGTCCAAGACCAATGAGAATTTTAAAAAATTCTCAAAGAATCAACTAAAAAAGAAGTATAGTCGACAAAAGAAGCAGGATCGTGATGACTTCACCAAGAAGAATACCGAAAAAGTTGAGAAGAATACTAGTCATTTTTGTAAAATTTGCAAAAAGACTAATCATAATGCAGAAAATAATTGTCACGGAGGCATGCCCCAATGCAACTTTTGTAAAAAGTTTGGCCACATTGAGAAAGTTTGTAAGCACAAGCAACAAGAGCAAGCCAACTTTTATGAGAAAAAAAAAAGTACAAGAAAAAGAAGAGAACCTTTTCTATGCATCTCAATCTGATGCTTCAAAAAAAAAAAGTAATGAATGCTATGTTGACAGCGCTTGTACCAATCACATGTGTGGAGACAAAAAGACTTTCATTTCAATTAATCTCGGTGTCACTTCTAAAGTGAGAATGGGAAATAGAGTGTTACTTGACGCCAAAGGTAATTGTATCATTTCAATCAACACAAAAATAAGCATTAAGCAAATTCATGATGTTCTTTATGTTCCAGACTTGGAAGAAAATTTTCTTAGTATTGATCAGCACATAAAAAATAGTTATTCTCTTTTGTTTAGGAGTGATCTTTGTAAAATTTATGACAAAACTGAGCCAAATCAAGTCATTGGTGAAGCAAAGATGATAAACACAAACCTTTACAACTTCATTATAATGCATTAAAAGTGAAGTTGTAAATGATTCATGGCTTTGGCACAAAAGATTTTGTCACTTGAATTTTAATGGCTTGAGCTCCTAAAAAAAAGGCATGGTACAAGGTCTTCCCAAAATACATACTGAGGTGGATCCATGTGAAAGTTGTATTATGGGAAAGCAACACAGAAAATCTTTTTCAAAAGGAAAATCTTGGACAGCAAGTTCACCATTGCAAATAATCCATACAGACTTTTGCGGACCAATGAAGACTCTATCTTTGGGAAGCCAAAGGTACTTTCTAATTTTTGTTGATGATTATTCAAGAATGAATTGGGTTTATTTCTTGAAAGAAAATTTCAGAAACATTTGATGTTTACCTTGAAAATGGTAATAACAATTAGATTTGATTTTGTGGTTCTAAAAATATGTGATCTATTTTTATGCTAGTTGTTAAGTCCTAGATGCTAAGTGACGGGATTAGAAAATAATATAAGAGATTGAAGATGGCCTTAGAAACCAAACCAAATGGTTGAGAATCGGGGCCTCGAGCTAGCGCGTGCGGGGCCTCGATGCCAAGTTAGATGCCCAGCTAAGGGCGGTCGATGTGGGATTAACAACTATTAGGGTTGTGATTGCGGCTCTTTATGACCAGTAACGAGCAATAAATGAAGAATGATTGTCACGCCCCAATCCTCGAGGAGCGCGACCGGCGCGCAACTGAGCGAACCCGGTCAAGCAAGCCTACTAGCCTTTCCTACCCGACTCACTCAATACCCGAAGACGGAATGCATCACCAATTATTAAACACGGGAGAGAGAGAGTTGTTATATAAATGCATACACGTTGCTAGTTAAATTTTTACTTAAATACAACATGCCATAGTTAAGTTTCCAAAAGTACACACAGTTGACAATCTATTAGAGAAAAGTTTCAAAGTACACCGTGATCCTATGACAACCCCAGCACCCATACATGACCCACATAAACGTCTACGGAGCCTCTAAGGATACAAAAGACCAAAATGACAATACCGGCGACAAGGCCCCGACTATACCTCAAAATAGGGAAATTTGTACAAAAGAAGAACTACAAGACCCCTGGGAGAAATGGGGGCTCACCAAGCCTGCTGTGGAAAGAGAAAGAGAGCACCACTATCTGCGATCGGCGCTATACAGCAACGGAACCACCTACATCCATTCAAAGATGTAGCGCCCCCAACAAAAGGGACGTTAGTACTGTCGAATAGTACTAGTAGGTAAGGCAAACACAATTCTTAATAGGATGAATAATGAACAAATAGAAAGCAGTTATAACATCAACAAGTACTTCACAGGATTACAAGGAAACACCAATTAAGGTTCACATAGTTCCGGTTAAGTCTTGCCGTTCCTTTAGGTTAATATTCTGTAGTGCCGAGTGCCATAACCCATAATGCCACCGTGATTTTATATGCAGGCCGGTCTCGGCCCGACCAGCTAAGTCATCCCAAGTGAGACATAACCAAATTCATAATGATAACGAAAGTCCAACATAAATTCCACCATGTGTTTAGCATGGCGTCCGATCTCGGCCCGATCGGCTAAGCCATCTCACTTGGGACATAACCTCTTTCAATCATCCATTTCATTTACATTTCTTTTCATCTTTCATTACTTGACACAAGCAGCCCCATTTATTAAGTAGTTCTTGGCACTTGGACACGTTTTCTAATTCAAGTCTTTCTCTTTATTATTTTTCCAAATATCGCCAATAACCATGTCAACAAGTGCTATCAAATAAGGCATGCGCACACAAGGAAAAGAAAAGAAAACAAAAGGGAAGCTTGGAGAACATGATCACATTTTCAAATAGCATGATTTCAGGGCAACACTTAGAACAAACATGGAACATAAATCTATCACCCCAATACATAAAGGCAAACCATTTAGTATGATCAATTCAGAACTCACGCCAAATATTCGGACACCAAGAGTTCAATTCTAAGAAGAAGAGGGTTAGCCATACATACCTCAATGGAGCTTTTTCTTAAACTCTTACAATAATTCCGGAACTCTTAGCCACCTCGATCTATTTTATGAGAATTACAAGTTGATCCAACAATTAGAGAGATAATCAAGATTCTAGCTCACTTGAGCATACTCTCAAGCACTAAGTGTGCATTATGAATTTTAAGGTCTTTTGTGAAAAATTCTATTATCCTACACCCCATTTGTTACATTCTTAGCTCACAATCTTCCCATACCCTTTTATCATTCATGCGTGCAAGACAATCAACCGTTATACCCATGAACCCATTTGTTAATTACTTATTTTAGTAGGAATTTCGAAATCTAAGGTTAGAGCACAAGTTCTTACCTCTTAGGATGAAGACCCAGTAACTTTACTTGATAATCTTCAAGGATTTGGGCAAGGATTGAGTAAAGGCTTGGTGGGGATCACTTTCTCCCTCTAGAACTCTTGCTCTCACTCTAAATGTAATAGAAATTAGCTCAAGAGGGTCTAATTGGGTGATTTTAATAGAATGGGGTTGGGTTTTAAAAGTTAGAAAATAGGAGCCCCGACTCAATCTGCGATCGCATATGCGACCGCATAACTGATATGCAGCCCGCAAAAGGGATCGCAAAAGTGGCCCTCAAGACCTCGATACACTGCCTGGGTATGCGACCAATATGCGGTCCGCATACCTGTTCTGTGGTCGCCTAATGCACCGCAGAACTGCCTATACAAAAATCCCAAGGAGGCTATGCGACGACTATGCGACCCGAATATCGATTATACGATCGCATAATTGGCCGCATAGTTGTCCTAAAATTGGCCAACACACTGACCCACTCTGCGGCAGATATGCGGCTCGCATTGCTATTATGCGGCCGCATAATGGGCCGCAAAAACGCGCTCTTCTGAAAAACATTTTTCCTTAACGTTTTAATGAACAGATCACCCAAAAGGTTCGAGCCGCGGCGAGTTGGCACTACCAGATTTCGGGTTCTTCAGTAAAAATTTTACGGGGCCTTACAACGATTAATGATATATAATAAATATAAACAAAGAAATAAATGTAAGCAACAGAGCCAAATAGAGAGTATGTTTAGAGAGAAGAAAGAATGTTCTTGTATTAAATAAAGCATCTTGTGTATTCGATCCCTTTACAAAATGACAAGGATCCACTTTATATAAGGAGGGAAATCCCATCATAGTACATGAGTAATTATTA